AGAAGTTTTTTGGTGGAGTTTTTTGGATCTTCAATGTAGAGTATCATATCATCAGCAAATAATGACAGTTTAACTTCTTCCTTTCCTATCTTTATTGCTTTAATTTCTTTCTCTTGTCTAATTGCTATGGCTAATGTTTCCAGAACTGTATCGAAGAGGAGTGGTGATAGTGGGCATCCTTGTCTTGTTCCTGATTTTAACATGAAGGTTTTCAGTTTTTGGCCATTTAATATGATGTTGGCTGTTGGTTTTTCATAGATAGCCTTTATTACGTTGAGACATAGACCATCTATTCCAATTTTTTGCAGTTTTTATCATGAATGGGTCTTGAATTTTGTCAAATGCTTTTTCTGCATTTATCGAGAGGATCATGTGGTTCTTGTCCTTGACTTTGTTAATATAGTGTATTACATTAATTGATTTACATATGTTGAACCATCCTTGCATCCCTGGAATAAATCCTACTTGGTCAGGATGAATGATCTTCTTGATGATCCTCTGTATTCTGTTTGCTAGTATCTTATTTTTGCATCTATATTCATTAAGGAAATTGGCCTGTAGTTCTCTTATTTTCTTACATCTTTCCCAGGTTTGGGAATCAAAGTGATATTTGCTTCCAGGAATGAATTTGGAAGTATTGCTTCTCTTTCAATTTCGTTGAAAAGTCTGAAGAGTAATGGCAATAGATCTTTTCTAAATGTCTTGTAAAATTCAGCAGTGAATCCTTCAGGACCTGGGCTTTTCTGTGTTGGTAAGTTTTTAATTACATTTTCAATTTCACTGATTGTGATTAGGGTGTTTAAAATGTTTTTATCTTCTTCATTCAACTTGGGTAATTCATAAGTATCTAGAAATCTGTCCATTTCTTCTGTGTTTTCTCTTTTATTAGAGTACAGGTTCTCATAGTATGTATTAATGATCCTCTGTACTTCTGTGGGATCTATTGTGACTTTGCCTTTTTCATTCCTGATTGCATGGATCTGAGCCTTTTCTTTCCTTTTTTTGATAAGGTTTGCTAAGGGTTTATCAATTTTATTTAGTCTTTCAAAAAACCAACTCTTCGATTCATTTATTTTTTGTATTGTTTTCTTAGTTTCCATTGCATTGATTTCTGCTCTAATCGTTATAATTTCCTCTCTTGTTCGAGCTTTGGGTTTTTCTTGCTCTTGTTTTTCTAGGAGTCTAAGAGTCATCGTTAGGTTGTTTATTTGAGCTTGCTCTGTTTTCCTAATGTGGGCATTCAGTGCTATGAATTTTCCACATAGAACTGCTTTCATTGTGTCCCATAGATTCCTGTATGTTGTATTGGCATTTTTGTTTATTTGTAAAAACTGTCCAATTTCTTCTTTGATTTCCTCTGTGATCCATTGATTGTTCAGGAGAGTGTTGTTCAGTTTCCATGTGTCTGTGAAGTTCCTACGGTTTCTTATGCTATTGATGTCCAACTTTATTGCACTGTGATCTGATAATATACAGTGAATAACTTCAGTTCTTTTGCATTTATTCAAAACTGTTTTGTGAGCTAGTATGTGATCTATCTTGAAGAATGACCCATGTGCAGCTGAAAAGAATGTATATTCTGATTTTTTGGGGTGAAATACTCTATAGACATCTAATAAGTCCATGTGTTCAAAAGCTTGGTTCAGTTCTAGTATTTCATTGTTGATTTTTTGCCTAGATGATCTATTTTTGATAGTGGGGTATTCAGATCCCCCACTACAATTGTATTAGTGGTTATTTGGTTTTTCATGTTACTTAATATTTGTTTTATATAGTTGGGGGCATTTATATTTGGTGCATATATGTTTATGATTGTCATTTCTTCCTCTTGAATTGTTCCCTTTACAAGGATGTAGTGGCTTTCTTTGTCTCTCTTAATCAGTTTTGGTTTGAAATTTGCTTTGTCTGAGAATAAGATTGCTACCCCTGCTTTTTTCTGTGCTCCTGTCGCATGGAGAATTGTTTTCCATCCTTTCACTTTCAGTCTATGGACTTCTTTTTGCACTAGGTTTGTTTCTTGTATGCAACATATTGTTGGATTTTGCTTCTTAATCCATTCTGCCAATCTATTTCTCTTGATTGGTGAATTGAGGCCATTGACATTGATAGTTATAACTGATATGTACTGACTTATTATTATCATGTTATTGTCCTTTTGTTGACTCTTTTTATTTTTTGTCCTCTCTTTTTAGTTTCTAGCCTTGGCTATTTGATTTGCTGTATTGGACCTCCTGGTGTTGTGATCTTCATTGTCCTTTTCTAGGATATTCTTTAAAATTCTTAGTAGTGCTGGTTTAGTATTCATGAAGTTTCTCAAGTGTTCTTTGTCGTGGAAGTGTCTTATTTCTCCATCCATTCTGAAAGAGAGTTTTGCAGGATACATCAGTCTTGGTTGTAGGTTGTTTTCTTTTAGGACTTGAAATACCTCACTCCAGGCTCTCCTTGACCTGAGGGTTTGTGTTGAAAAGTCTGCTGTGATTCTGATGGGCTTTCCTTTGCATGTGATTTGTTTCTTTTCTCTTATTGCTTTTGTAGTATTTTGTTCTTCTGTTGGGTTTCTGGGATCTTGATTATTATATGTCTAGGTGTAGATTTTTTTGATCGTGGCTAGTTGGTGTCCTATATGCCTCGCTTATCTGTATGTCTAATTCTTCCCTTCTGTTTGGGAAGTTTTCAGTCATTAATTCTTCGAACAGCTTTTTTAAGTCATTTGCGTTTTCTCCTGGAACTTCATGGATTCCTATCAGTCTTATGTTATTCTTCTTTGCATCATCTAGGAGATGTTGGATCGATTTCTCATGCTCCCTGACTGTTTTTAAGAGACCTCTCATTTCATGGTCACTTTCTGCTATCCTGTCTTCTATATCTGAGATCCTATCCTTGCAATCTTTTATTCTGTTACATATGCTTTCAATAGCATTTTTAATCTCCTGGATATCTGAATCTGTTTGATGGATTCCATTTCTTTCCTATGTTGGGTGTTCTTTATTTCCATTTCTTTTCTTATCCTGGGCCTTCATGGTTTCTATCATGTTCCCAAGCTCATCTATTTTTTTTATCAGTTTCTGTTCTGGATTCTCCAATCGTGTCTTTCATTTTGCTCACCATCTCTATGGTTAACTGGGAAATAATTTCTGTTTTGAATTTTTCTAGAGCATGATTGATCTGTGTTTTTACTTTATGTGCTGTGAGTTCTGAGTGTCCTGAAGGTTCACTATCTGATTTTTCATCCTCCTTTGCTGTACTGTTTGCCATTGGTGGACTGGAAGTTTGCCTTGTGGCTTGCTTAAGTGTTTTCTCATCTTTATTTTTGCTGTTGGATTGACCTTGATTCAATCTCTGGGTCATTAAATCTTCCTGATATCATTGCGTCCCAGCCTTTGATTCTCTACTGACTTAAAGACATTCTCATTTTCATAATTGAGCAAACAACTCATCAAATCAATCCCTATCGATACAATCGAAACATAATAGGATTAATCACCACCCTTTATAGCCCGCCACGCCTCTGCAGAGTGTGTCCTAGGACTGGCTCAGTCAGGTGATCTAATGGGGGGGCAGGGCTCAGCGGCGCCCACAGGGCTACCCTCCTGCCACTGTGTCTGAGAGGGCTCTGAATCCAAGCGGGGGGGTGGGGCGGGCGGGCAATGACGTCCAACTCACCCGCCTGGCGCTGCGTTGTAGCCAATCACTCAGCGCCCGCTGGAAATGGCACGGCTCCAGAGCCGATGCAAATTTTCTATTGAGAGTATGTTGCCTGTGTTAGGGATTATTTAAGGAGCCTTTGGAAACCATTTGATGTCACCATTTGCAGAAGTTTTTGTCAAACAGTTTTAGGATTTAGGTGCTTGAGTAGACCTGTGAGAGAAAAGGGTAAGTTTAAGTTTCTATCTTTGACAAAAGAGAGTAGGCTCTTTAGGCTGTCCAGAATATATACTGAATTACACAGAAGCTCAATTTCTGCGTATGGGGCATTGTCACTCTTCAGCCAAAGCACATTGGAGGCAATAGGAAAGAGAAACAATGTTTATTTTGACTCTACCTTGTATATAATACCATGTGACTCAGGAAATGGTTAGGAAAAAGCATTTTGGGGCCAGGAACATATCTTTCCCTCTAAGCTGGTAGCTTGGGGGTGGATTTCTTTACACATATGAATAGCTGAATCAGATACTAAATGGGAGCAATAATAGTAATGCCTAGTTCTTAGGATAAGTGTGAAAATAAATGAGGTGCCTAAGAAAACAACTTGCATTTCATAATAATAGCAATGTTTATTACTAATTGAGTGAATTCTAGGGACTGGGTAGATAGGTATGGGGCTTCAGATGCACTTGTTTCATCTGTCTTAACAACCCCATGAAGTAGGTGTTTTCAGGCTGTTTTAAGGTAAAGAAACTCAGCCTAGAGTGACTTCCCCAGATTCCAGCTAGGATGTAGAAGAGCTGGAAATCAAATCCCCATCTACTTTACACAAATCTTGTGAGTTTTTCCCATATTCCACACTTGGTGTTCATATTACTGAACTTTTCTACAGTATCGAACACAGTGACCTGTCCCTTGCCACCCCAGAAATCACTAGTGGGTGGCCATGGAGTTGCTAACCATATGCACACTGTCTTTACAGCTTTCTTGGAGCTGCCAGAGTCTGGGGCCAGGCCCCATAGTGGAGACCACAGGATCTTCCTTTCAACCCAACTCGCCTTGCCAGTAGCCCTGGGTGAGTCCACAGTTGCCAGCCTGGCTTCAAGCTCCAGAGAAGGGCTGAGTCATCAGCAGCAGAGCCTGAGGGCTGAGGCCCAGCATGAATATGCCCACCAATGGGGACTCCTCTCAGTTGCCCCTGGCCCTGGGGTTTGTGTGAGGTGAGGAGGGAGAAAAACCCTAAGGGCAGGAATTCATTCAGTGAGGTGATACCCCTGACTTGTTCCTAGGGCTTCAGGACAGGGACAAAAGAGTCACAGGAAATGGGAGATTCTGGCTTTCCTCTCCTGGAAACAAGTCAAGGTCTTCCCATTGAGACTGAGTCCTGCATAAACGAAGTGACCACATTCAGAGCCCTGTGGGTTTTAGTGGAGAGGGTGCTCTTGTTGATGGAAGAGAGGAGAGATGAGGGTTCAGCCCCGTGTCTTGGCAGAGTGGGGCAGGGAGTTCCTGCGGGCCATCTGAGGCCAAGGTGTGGGGAGGAGCAGCTACTGGCGGTGACTATGGGAGATGAAACCCCCCACCTCCTACCCTAGCACAGCCCTTCTCTCTTTGTGGGTCCTTTACAGGCATTCAGCTGACCCCTCCCAACCTCTCACTTCCCCTGTCTCTGGCAATCTGCTGATTTCTCCTTTATCCTGATGTAAGTATCCTTTTTCTAAAAACTTGTAAACTGGCAGGGTAGTAGGACAACCACTGTCTTTAGGGCCCTTCCAGCTCTTTCTCTTCTTTTCAGACCTGAATAAAATGGCCAAAGGAGGTATGTGGTTAGTACTGGCTTCTCAGGTTAGCTGTGACAGAACTGCCCTGGAGCCAGGAAGCCCCTCTTATGGCACTGTAGCAGACAACCAGGTTTCTTGCTCAGTCACTTTGAGATCATGTAAGCAGAGGAAGCCATGAGAGAGCCAGACCCTGCCCACAGCTCCCTGTTTGCAGACTTTCCTATGGATTTTGTCAATGAGGGAAGCCTTGCCCCCCACCATGGAGGGGTCTCACGGACATGTAGTCATTGGGATAATATTAAACTTTTAAAATTTGTTTTGATTTTTGTCATTTCATAATAAAATCTTAGGAAATGCAAGTTAGCAAATAGAAGAGAATAGAAACTTCCTTGTAATTCCAGCATTTTCCTAAGTGAACTATCATTAACATTAAGCTCTATTTCCCTTCAGTTTTTTTCCTTTGCCTGTGCGTATATGTTGAGTATATGTGTGGGGCTTTGAATATGTATGCATGCCATGTACATATACATACATAGCCAAGGCTTAAAAATAGAGCCATACTATTTAGTTACCATCTTTTTGCCCACCGTGGCACTAGAGATTGAATCCAGCACCTTCACCCTGATCTATGTCCCAAACCCTTTCCCTTTTTTTCTTTTGACAGGGTCTCACTATGTAGTTGAGACTGACCTGGAAATCACTATATAGCCCAGGCTGGGATTACAGGCATGCACCAACCACACCCGCCCTCCCTTTTCATTTTTTATTTTGAGACAGGGTCTTTCTGAGTTGCTCAGGCTGGCCTCAAATGTGCAGTCCTCCTGTCTCAGCCTTCAGAGTAGCTGGATTATAGGCATGCACCACCACACCTGGCTGTCCTTTTTTTTTTTTTTCTATGCTGGGAATTGAACCTAGGGCCTTGTACGTGCTAGGCAAGCACTCTACCACTTGGCTACATCCCCTTCCCTGTGGTTACTGCTTTTTAATTGAGTGGTTTAACATAATTTTCTAGGCAGTAAATATTTTTAACAAACATGTGATATTAATTGAACCAGTCCAGCATTTTTAAAAATTTGGTTGACAAATAATGATTATGTATATTTATGGAGTACATTATGAGCTTTATACCCACGCACAAGGAATGATTAAGTCAAGCTAATTAACATATCACCTCACATACTTATCTTTTTTATTCTATTTTATTTAATTTATTTATTTATTTATTGCAGTATTGGGGATGGAACCCAGGGCCTTGTGCATACTCAGAATGTGCTTTGCCACTGAGGTAAACCCCCAGCCTAACATTTTTTGTTGTGGTTTGAATATTTAAAATCTTCTCTATTAGCAATTTTGTAATACATTAAGTCCCCACATATCATTAACAGATATATTCCAAGACACCCCACCCCCCGTGGACACCTGAAACCTCAGATAGTACCAAACCCTATATATAAAATCATGTGTCACAAAATGACATTTTGGTCAACAATGGACAACATACAAAATAGTGGTTGCAAAAGATTATATTACTAAGTGATGTCATAACTGTCTTAGTTTGTGCAAGTGTGCTTTATGCTATTTACACAATAGCAAAATTGCCTCATGGCATGCTTCCCAGAACAATCTCTGCTGTTACTGCATGATTGTACTGTTTTTTCCTATATATGCATACCTATGATAAAGTGTAATTTATAAATTAGCCACAGTAAGAGATTAACAGCAATAAACAATAATAAAGCAGAACAATTGTAACTGTATACTTATAGTAAAAGTATGTGAATGTGAGCTTTCTCTTAAAATATAAAGTTTTCTATTTAATATTTTTGGACCATAGTTGGTCATGGGTAACTGACACCAAGGGGGACTACTTATATACAATACATTGTTTTTAACTATAGTCACCCTGCTAGGCAATAGATCTCAAAAACGTATTCCTTCTGTCTAGCAAACTTTGCATGCCTTGACCAGCATCTTCCCAACCAATCCACTATTTTCTAATGTGATTAATACTGTAAAATTCCTACACTTAAATTGTTTTGCTCGAGTCATTGAAATTATATTTTAAAATCAAAAGTACAGAAGCATTAGTTGGTAAGTGAATGAAAGCTTGATAGTAGCCAACATGTGACAGTAGTCATTATAAGCCACTGAGCTACAGATTGAGACCACAGCAATGTGGTTCTCCCTAACCCTGAAGACTCTTGCTCAGCAAATGTATGGAGTTTCTAGACAAATGGCTCTGGTCTCTGCAAAGCATTTTCTCCATTCATCTTTTTTTTTTCCAACCACAAATCTCTTGCCCTTCTCAAGAAGAGATGGAGATGACAAAGTCTCTGATGAATATTAATAATTCACTTACTTAATTGTTAGAGTCTTGGTTTTTTCATTAGATGTCGGGGAGTAGAATATAAAGAAAGGCACCATGGAACCAATAAAAAAGTGTCCCCAAGGTTTAAGAAGCAGCCAGTTGGACCAAGAAATAGTGGCTAAAGCTGAAGATCAAGCAGAGGATTTGGGAAGAAAGAAGACTGAGAAGGAAGAGGAAACAGCTGGAGGAAACATGGAGCATTTACTAGACATGGAGAATATCCCAGGAGACCAGGGATCAGGTGGAGGCTCAGTGGAACAAACAGAGGACACGAGAAACCAGGCAACGGTTCGTGGCTTCCAAGGACAATCTGAGGGTATATAGAGAAATGTCAACAGAGGTACCAGGAAACAAGAAAGGGGAAGTATGACCCGAGAACCAGTGGCAGCCAAGGGGACAGAGACAAGTGTTCAGGGATTATGGAAAGGACAGAACCCATGGAACAGTGGCTAAGATGAGGGCAAAGCCTTGAAGGATGGCTTATGGTATGAGGGAACATAGGGCTCAAGGGTCAGTCACTGCATTTGGCAACAGCCAGAGAGCTGCAAAAGTGTACTTGGCTCTGGGAGTCAGCCAAAGGTCTTAGAAAATAACCAGAGAACCTAGGGAACAGGCAGTTGAGTATTCAGTGTGTATCTGGTATGGGTAGCAACCTGATCAACTAGAGAATGAGACTAAAGATGATCCACAAGGATTAGTGTGAATTACTAAAGAGAGTTAGTAGCCAGAGGTCCCATGTAGTCACTGGCAAATGAAGAAGCCAGGAAGAGTCATGGGCATAGCCAGGGTTCCCAGGAATGTGATGACCAACCATCCACATTTGCCTGTAACCAAGGGGACATGGGGCTTTTGGTGCTAAAACAGCAAAATTGCTGTGCAAACTGGAATAGTTAGTCATTCCAGTAACCTAGAAAAAATCCAGAGGAACCAGTCTATAACCAGAAGTAATGAATATTGGAGGCAGTGGAAGTACAGAATCCAGCCATGACAGAACACATAGAAGCAGTATACTTTAGTGGTTAAGAGCCCAGGCTAAGGAGCCAGCCAGACTGGCATGACTCAAAAGTATGGCCCATGGATCAGATGTGTAGACATCACAGGACAACAAGTTAATGACATGTGCAAGGAACTGTGCAAGGACCCAGGAAAAAATTCAGATCCCAGAGAACAGTCAGTGGGATCCAGCAGCAGCCAGTCTGTGTGAACCAGGGACAGTCAGGAGGAATAAGAAAAGCTTTTAGGAACCAGGGAACACTAAGATAGGCTAGAGTTCCATCAGAAAAATGGTGCCACAGAATAAGAATCTGCTGGAAAGACAGCATCTGAGGGAACACATGGCAGTCAGACAAAACAGGAAACAGGAGGCATGGGCAGTTAGAGGGCACCACACACAGCTAAAGAAAGTAGTAAATAAGAGATCAGGGGGACAACCAGAAGGAAGAAGAAACAATGGAAAATAGACAGCTGGTTTTGGTTGCACACATGTGTTATCCCAGCATTGGGAGGCTGAGGCAGGAAAATCACAAGTTTGAGCCTAGCCTGGCAACTTAGAGACTTAATAAAAACCTGTCTCAAAACAAATAAAAAATTTCAAAAAACTCCTGGGATGTGCAGCTCAGCGTGAAGCCTTTGGATTCTATCACAGTGGCAAAAAATAAAGGGAAAGACCAAAGAAGAATCAGAGGGACCAAGAAATGGTCAGATGGAGAACACTGAGAGAGAGCTAACCAGCAGAAAGGGAGCAGGGAACAGCCTGGGGAAGCCAAAAACAGACAGTTAGCTGGAAAAGGAGCAGCTGGGAAGCGAGAAAGCTAGAGGGACAGAGGAACAGCTGCAGGCCACAGAGAACACTTTGAGTGGACAGTAAATAGCTAGAGGGAGCAACAGAGGCTTAAAGCAGCTACACAGGCTACCAATTTGTCAGTCTCAGTGCAACAGAACACTGTACACACAAGTCACATGGATTGGGTGTCCTATTTACAGATAAGCAGTAAGGGACAACAGAAGCTTAGGATTCTTTGCCAGCCGGTCCTCTTAAGGTTCGGAAAAGCTACCCGGGTGGATAAAGTCT